ATGGAACGTGCCAACATTTTAGGTAATAAATTATTACTAATATTAAATAATTTATTAATTAATTTTTATTTTAGCCTGACCCATATGTGGGGGTAAGTTATGGTTATTGGGGTTACCCCGGATTATATGCAAGAGTTTGGTGGCCTTCTGGCTATTGGCCGGATGGATATGGATATGGTTATTACCATTATTATTGTTAATACAAAAGTTTATTAACACAACGAAGTAAATAAATCGTTTTAATTTCATCCTCGTTTCTATTTCTATATTAATAACTTAATTACAATGATTGTGGACTTGCGCTACATAGTCAAAGAGTACTCTTACGATGACTTTTCCTTTCAAAAAGTAAAAGTAACCGACTCTTTGGTCCGGCAGTTGTCGAGCCTTTCGTATCTTCTAGTTTTGCATCGTGAAAGTCCAGCAACAGCACGAATCGCTTCGCTGGTAGCGAGGAACGTGCCAATAAAAACCATTTACTACGCAAGTTCAAAGTCAAGGCGGAGATTTCGATGGTGCAACTCCTATGGAACGTGCCAACATTTTACACTATTATTCCGCATCGTTCGTTACTATCCGCTGGGCGAAAGGAATTTTTATTTAATGTTCTTGCGAAAGCTTCAGATTTTCTTCGGGTTATTAGAGCTTCTACAAACAAGCTCTAATAACCATTTAATTGTTTTAGAATATATTATTGTCTATCCTGTTATTGATATTCAGTATGTGATGTATGTAAATCGTACGATTTTCCTTCTTTCACTTGACATTGAGTACGGAGTAACTGATCGAAAATTTTTTCGAATTTTGCAATTTTCGCCGATTAAGTTTCAAAAATTCGTATAAAATCGATTTCTTGGAATATGAGTATGAAAATTTCCCAAAGTGTTAATAAAAGTGTCCTCTTTACAATGAACCTACCCGTTTTGAAAAATAACTTTTAGTTTTTGAGAAAACAATATTTGAAGTTTTGATAAAATTTTCTATGTTGCAATTTTCAAAATTCGCTGTAAAATTAATTTCTTGAAGGATCCTTGTGGAAATATCACCAATTATTAATTATAGTATCCTCTTTTTAATGCAACAAGCTGTTTTGAAAAATCACTTTTAGTTCTTAAGAAATAAATTTTTGAAATGATCGATAATTTTTTCGAATTTTTCAATTTTTGTAAATAAAAAACTTTGCTTTTCAGAAGGGTATCTTTTATTTTCGGCTCTACCGGTTTCGACTAATTCCTTTTAGTCATCTTCAGGAGCAATAGCCACGTCTATTATACTTTTAATTTTCGAAATCTGGAATCATCTCTTCTTTCATCAGTACTTTCTTGAATTATTCGTTCTTAAATGTTGTTAAAATTTTNGAAGTTTTGATAAAATTTTCGATGTTGCAATTTTCATCGGTAACTTTCAAAATTCGCTGTAAAATTAATTTCTTGAAGGAACCTTGTGGAAATATCACCAATTATTAATTAAAGTATCCTCTTTTTAATGCAAAAAGCCGTTTTGAGAAATCACTTCTAGTTCTTAAGAAATAAATTTTTTGAAATGATCGATAATCTTTTCGAGTTTTTCAATTTTTGCCGATTAAGTTTTAAAAATTCGTATAAAATCCATTTCTTGGGATATGAGTATGAAAATTTCTCAAAGTGTTAATAAAAGTGTCCTCTTTCCAATGAACCTACCCGTTTTGAAAAATAAAAACAATATTTGAAGTTTTGATAACAATTTCATCGATATCCATCACTAGTCTGAACTAACTTTATAATGTAACGCCAAATAATTATTTATAGTTAAAAGTAGGATACAATTTGTATTTATTAGGATTATATACAAAAGTTGGGTTACAATTTTCGGTGAAATACTGCTTCATTTGGGAATAGATAATAAATAATTAACATTCAACGATGTGATGTTGGTGTTTAAACACGAATAATTTTTATCTGTACAGTTTAGTACTTGATATAAGTATATATCTAGCACTAATTACATCTAATTGAGTGTCTTACACTCCTCTCTTTTAAAATTAATTAAACAATTTTACATTTACACACATTTCTAAATATTTTCTCTAGAGTTTATAATCACTAATTCACATTTCTTATCACATTCCATTCAGTTAACGTTCATTTAGATTAATATTGATTATTAATTTGTTTTAATCCAAAGCTCCTTTTCCTGTGTTGGGTAAAAGGAAACATAACAATCCGGCTCCTGCAAAACAATAAATTAGAAATGTTTCTTGTGGAAATCGTATTGTTTATTCTTACCAACTAGGAGAGAACCGAATAATACGATTGGAACGACGCATTCCAAATCAATTAAATATCCAAACAAGACATTTCCTAATAAAGCGCCTAATCGACCGAAAGTTAACGACAAAGCAGCCGCCATAACTCTTAAATTCGTCGGAAATAGGTCCACCATCACGCAATAAACCGTACTAATTCCTAAACTTGTTAAAGCTTCGAAAATACAAGACAACACCAAGTTTGATGTTGAGGAAGTTACAAAATATAAACCGAACGTTACACCAGCAGCAACCAATAAACTAAAAACTAATTAAAAAAAAATTTATGATTTTTGATAAACCAAATAAAAGTTTTTCTTACTCAAAAAGAATTTCGCCCCAAGTTTATGCACACACAAAGGTAACCATAAACTAGTTGGAATACACGCTATACCAATAATTAAAGTGTGCAAATAAACTGAATCTTCGATTGGTTCGCCGCAAAATTCATCAGCGGGATTTGCAGTTTCTCTAAACATTCTTGTTGCGTTTGTAACGCTGGCAGAAACGTCGCAAACTGATGCAGATTCTCCAGGATGCATAGTTTCAAATTCTTCGAAGCGATAAAAAAGCTCGGGAAACCAAATCATTAAAGTGTAATAACTCGTCGTCAATCCAAACTGAATCAAACACGTGATGATTGTATATTTTAAATGGGGTGCTTTACACAAAGCTTTTGTTTGAGCCCAAATCTCGGCGATTAACATTTTTAATTCTTTTGGTTTCCGAAGGCTTAAGCTGCGAATCGATTTGTTGGATTGACTTGAAATTACGCTGAACGTACGCGATTTTTCTCGTAAACTTTTTATCTAAAAAGAAAATGTGTTTTAAAAACGATTTCTTTAATATAAATAAAATAAATAACTTACTGGATAATTTGATGCACTATCACCTGAATTACTCGAATAAATATTTTTTAATATATCTAAAGCAGCATCTGGTTCGCCGATATCCAACAAGAATTTTGGACTTTCTGGGAAAAAAAATAACCACACTCCTAATAAGATGCTTGGAATTGAGCAGATAATAACGAATAAATTCCAACTTTTAAATTTGAACACGTCCGATACTAAATCGATCTCTAAAGGGATTGATAACCACGCTAAACCTGGAAGAACGATTACTCCGATGGTCCAAAACATTTCCATCCAACATAAAATCGTCTCGCGGTATTTACTGGGTTGGAATTCGCCCAAATATGGGAAACAAATTCCCATAGCTCCCGCAATTCTATTTAAAAAAATATGTTAAAACGCATAAAAATTAACATTTAACTGAAAACTTACGCAAATCCACTTAAAAATCTTAAAATCATAAATATAGTGTATAATTGAGAAACAGCTGATAAAATCCCGCAAATTCCATCCATCAAAAGCGTCCAAATTAAAACGATTTTACGCCCTTTTGTGTCAGCTAAACAACCCCAAAAATAAGACCCTAGCAACATTCCTGAAACAAATTTCATTAAAACGATTATTTCAATTCGTTCAGGTGAATCAAAATTATTTACCTAACATCGGAGCCGCTGTCAATAATCCTTTATCGCTTGATGTCATTTGAAAATCACATTGTGCCGATGGCAAAACGAACGACATAATTGTTATGCTAATTGCTGTGTCCATATAAATTAAGCCGCATACTGCCAAAAGTGCGAAATGGAATTTTCCAAAACCTACAAAAAGTTATTGATGACAAAATATTTCTTCCAAAAAGTTAGGTACTACTTGAAAAAAAATGATATTTCTAATAGAAGACTATATCTTTCTTATAGAACACTAGACTTTGCTGCCAGAAGATTAGATACTGCTCATAAAATGATTAGATCACTGTTACTGCAGGCATACTGCTAATAAAATACCACATGTACTTGCATACCATTAAATTACTGCTTTTAGAAGATAGATACTGTGAGTAGAAGACCAGATACTACCAATACATGATATGTTAAAAAATGTTTTCTCCTAAACAACCAGAAATGAAGAATAGAAACTTATTCAGGTTGTTAAGGAACGTTTGAGGTTAATTTGTGCCAAGTTTTAAGTTTCCATGTTGATTAATTCATTTTATATAAAGCTTTAAAAATCGCCAAGTTAATTTAGTGTCTGTTAAAAGTGAGGTTAAAGAAAAAAATTGTTTTCTCCTAAACGGTTAGGATTTAAGAAATGAAACTTTTTGAGGTTATAAAGGAACGTTTGAAGTTACGTTATACCAAATTATAAGTTTCCAGGATAATTACTTTATATTAAATAAAATTTAAAAGTTGCTGATTTTATTTGACATCTGTAGAAAATGGGATTAAAAATAAAGAACGTTTTCTCCTAAACAACCAGAAATGAAGAAATGAAACTTATTCAGGTTGTTAAGGAATGTTTGTAGATAATTTGTACCAATTTTCAAGTTTCCATGATGATTAATTCATTTTATATAAAGCTTTAAAAATCGCCAAGTTAATTTAGTGTCTGTTAAAAGTGAGGTTAAAGAAAAAAATTGTTTTCTCCTAAACGGTTAGGATTTAAGAAATGAAACTTTTTGAGGTTATAAAGGAGCGTTTGAAGTTACATTATACCAAATTATAAGTTTCCAGGATGACTACTTTATCATAAATAAAATTTAAAACTCGCTGATTTTATTTGACATCTGTAGAAAATGGGATTAAAGATAAAAAATGTTTTCTCCTAAACAACCAGAAATGAAGAAATGAAACTTATTCAGGTTGTTAAGGAACGTTTGAGGTTAATTTGTGCCAAGTTTTAAGTTTCTATATTAGGTACTACTTGAAAAAAAATGATATTTCTATTAGAAGACTATATCTTTCTTATAGAACACTAGACTTTGCTGCCAGAAGATTAGATATTGCTCATAAAATGATTAGATGCTTTTAGAAGATAGATACTGTGCGTAGAAGACCAAATACTACCAATACATGATATGATCCATCTTATACATGACTAAACACTACTTGCAAAAGATTAGATACTGCCAGCAAACGACTAAATCCTGCTTTCAGATGATAGATACTACGCGTAGAAGATCAGATACCAATAAATGATATGATCGTCCTTATAATAACTAGACACTACTGGCAGAAGCCCAGATATTGATAATAAGACACTATACAAGCTTGGAGATGACTCAACACTGTTTGCAAAAGACTCGATACTGCCAATCTTCCTATAAATTTTCCTTATAGAAGATTTGACACTGCAGGGAAAAGATACAAAAAATGTTTTCTCCAATTAAAATTAAAAAATGTAAATTTTTGAGCTTATAAAGTAATATTTGAGATTAAGTTGTACCAAATTATATGCCTCAAAGTTGATAACTTTATTTTATATAGAATTTGAATTAATTTGATATTTGTAGGAAATACAAAAAATAAAAAATGTGCAAATGAAGAACAAAAAATTCAATGAAAAAATAAATAACGATGTAATTAATAAAAGAAAATCACGGGTTAATTAAAAATAAATTGGACCGGTTAAAATAACTCTACTTAACGATTTTAATCCTTAATAAAAAAAATAAAATTAATGACAAGGTTTTCGTTAATAATCGATCATGTTTTTTTTTGGTTTTTCTTCTTCACGCTGTAGCCTTAAAGTGTCAATTTTGGAGGTTTAAATAAATTACCGTTGTGTACAAAGTGGTTGTTGTTGGTTTTAAATTCGCGAAATGAACGGATAACGACCTCGTTTAAAGTTGATGGTGATAAGAAGCCAGCGAAATATCGTTTTATATTCCGAACTGATTCAATTTTGGGATATTGTTTTATGAAATTTAGGTCAAGTTCGTGAATGTTTTTATTTTTTAATTCGATCAAAAACTAAGATAACATTAGTTTGTGAAATAATAAAGTAATAAGTGATTTATAAGTGGTTTAATTTTAAAATGCTCACCTGTACTTTCAAGCGCTCTTTCGAAATCTTCGCCTTGTGCCTCAATAAAATCGAACCCTATCAAATAAAATTTTTAAATATAAGTACTCGAAAGTTTAATAAATTAATTTATAACAAACTAACCCATTGTATTAGTCTATTTTTTTTAATCGCACAATTTAGAACTTTATTCCTTTTTAAATTAATAAAATAATTTATTATTTTTTAATGTTGTGAAAAGTAATTTGCAGGATGAAGTTCACGTCGAAACTAACAGTCAGGTGTGTTCTCACACCATGTAAATACACCAAATACCATGTGGTTCAAGTACAACCATGATCGATGGCCCCCGATTGGTTGAGAATAACGTTATCGGGCATTGTTTTCAAGACGACGAAATTTCATTTACACTTTGAGTGCTCGTCTCTAGACGATTCAATTACTATTGTAGTACAAATTGACCGCACATCTAAAACTAAAACGAATCGATCTTTCCTTTAGAACTTTTTTTAATTATTAATGAATGTTACCACGAAAATACCCTCACATTGTGTGTGGGTGTATTTCCGTTTTTTCATTATTTCTTATTATGATTATTTTTAGAATAAGAAAAAAAATCAATTACAATTAATTAAAGTTAATATTAAGTTTAAATAAATTAGTTTAAGTTGTAATAAATCAAATAACTCAGATTTTAGAGATAAAAAAATAATGAATGTTATAATAACAGTCGTAAATGATTGACATCAACTTGAAATTTGATTAATGATTATAATTTTTATTTGGATATTTTAATTTTTTTATTGAGCCAGCGGTTTAAAAATACTTTCTAATTCCTACATTCAATCGATTTGTTACTTAATTAAATACCTTCAGAACATGCCACACTTTTTTATACCTTTTCTTTGACCACTTTTTACCCTATTTTCGAAGTAAACAACATTAAATTTTAACGTTTTAATCACATTTCTCAGCCTTCACCCCCAATTAGTGACCTTGTAACAAATGATTTTTAAAGTTGGCTCAATTAATTGTGACAATTTCACCTCGAATAATAACAATAACGAACAAAAATAACAACAAACGTTTAATAACGAAATCGTATTTGGAATCGTCATAAAACCTGGTTTGGTTTAATTGTGATATTGACAGGAAAACTTGACGAGGAACGAATTTTAATGATTCTTGTTTCGTATGAAAAAAAGTAAAAGAAAAATTAATTTTCTGATGATGTACAAAAAGTTACGACTTTTTGCTATAACCTTCTGGAAAAGTTTCTTCACCTTATTTTTCTGTGACATGGTCATTTAATGAATTTCTAAAACAAAACTAAACCAAAATTTTGAAGAAATGAAATTTATTCAGGTTGTTCAGAAACGTTTGGAGATAATTTGTACCAAGTTTTAAATTTCTATGATGATTAATTCATTTTATATAAAATTATAAAAATCGCCCAGTTAATTTAGTGACTATTAAAAGTGAGGTTAAAGAAAAAAATTGTTTTCTCCTAAACGGCTAGGATTTAATGAATGAAACTTTTTGAGGTTGTTAAGGAACGTTTGAAGATAATTTGTACCAAGTTTTAAGTTTCCATGTTGATTAATTCATTTTATATAAAATTTTAAAAATCGCCTAATTAATTTAGTGTCTGATAAAAGTGAGGTTAAAGAAAAAAATTGTTTTCTCTTAAACGGCTAGGATTTAATGAATGAAATTTTTTGAGGTTATAAAAGAGCATTTGGAGTTACATTATACCAAATTATAAGTTTCCAGGATAATTACTTTATATTAAATAAAATTTAAAAGTCGCTGATTTTATTTGACATCTGTAGAAAATGGGATNTGAATGAAATTTTTTGAGGTTATAAAAGAGCATTTGGAGTTACATTATACCAAATTATAAGTTTCCAGGATAATTACTTTATATTAAATAAAATTTAAAAGTCGCTGATTTTATTTGACATCTGTAGAAAATGGGATTAAAGATAAAAAATATTTTCTCCTAAACAACCTGAAACGAAGAAATGAAACTTATTCAGGTTGTTAAGGAACGTTTGAGGTTAATTTGTGCCAAGTTTTAAGTTTCCATGTTGATTAATTCATTTTATATAAAATTTTAAAAATCGCCCAGATAATTTAGTGTCTGTTAAAAGTGAGGTTAAAGAAAAAAATTATTTTCTCCTAAACGGTTAGGATTTAAGAAATGAAACTTTTTGAGGTAATAAAGGAACGTTTGAAGTTACATTATACCAAATTATAAGTTTCCAGGATAATTACTTTATATTAAATAAAATTTAAAAGTCGCTGATTTTATTTGACATCTGTAGAAAATGGGATTAAAGATAAAAAATGTTTTCTCCTAAACAACCAGAAATGAAGAAATGAAACTTATTCAGGTTGTTAAGGAACGTTTGAAGATAATTTGTACCAATTTTCAAGTTTCCATAATGATTAATTCATTTTATATAAAGCTTTAAAAATCGCCTAATTAATTTAGTGTCTGTTAAAAGTGAGGTTAAAGAAAAAAATTGTTTTCTCCTAAACGGTTAGGATTTAAGAAATGAAACTTTTTGAGGTTATAAAGGAACGTTTGGAGTTACATTATACCAAATTATAAGTTTCCAGGATAATTACTTTATATTAAATAAAATTTAAAGTCGCTGATTTTATTTGACATTTGTAGAAATTGGGATTAAAGATAAAAAATGTTTTCTCCTAAACAACTTAAAATGAAGAAATGAAACTTATTCAGGTTGTTAAGGAACGTTTGAGGTTAATTTGTACCAAGTTTAAAGTTTCCATGTTCATTAATTCATTTTATATAAAATTTTAAAAATCGCCTAATTAATTTAGTGTCTGTTAAAAGTGAGAAAAAAATTGTTTTCTCCTAAACGGTTAGGATTTAAGAAATGAAACTTTTTGAGGTTATAAAGGAACGTTTGAAGTTACGTTATACCAAATTACAAGTTTCCATGATAATTGCTTTATATTAATTAAAATTTAAAAATCGCTGATTTTATTTGACATCTGTAGAAAATGGGATTGAAGATAAAAAATGTTTTCTCCAAAACAACCTGAAATGAAGAAATGAAACTTATTCAGGTTGTTAAGGAACGTTTGAGGTTAATTTGTACCAATTTTCAAGTTTCCATGATGATTAATTCATTTTACATAAAGCATTAAAAATCGCCCAGTTAATTCAGTGTCTGTTAAAAGTGAGGTTAAAGAAAAAAATTGTTTTCTCCTAAACGGTTAGGATTTAAGAAATGAAACTTTTTGAGGTTATAAAGGAACGTTTGAAGTTACATTATACCAAATTATAAGTTTCCAGGATAATTACTTTATATTAAATAAAATTTAAAAGTCGCTGATTTTATTTGACATTTGTAGAAATTGGGATTAAAGATAAAAAATGTTTTCTCCTAAACAACCTGAAACGAAGAAATGAAACTTATTCAGGTTGTTAAGGAACGTTTGAGGTTAATTTATGCCAAGTTTTAAGTTACCATGTTGATTAATTTATTTTATATAAAATTTTAAAAATTGCCTAGTTAATTTAGTGACTATTAAAAGTGAGGTTAAAGAAAAAAATTATTTTCTCCTAAACGGTTAGGATTTAAGAAATGAAACTTTTTGAGGTTATAAAGGAACGTTTGAAGTTACATCATACTAAATTATAAGATTCCAGGGAACTTATTTTGTTTTATAGAGAATTTTAAAAGTTTATAATTAGGTTTTAGCTAATTATAAGCTCCCAATTTNCGTTTGAAGTTACATTATACTAAATTATAAGATTCCAGGGAACTTATTTTGTTTTATACAAAATTTTAAAAGTTTATAATTAGGTTTTAGCTAATTATAAGCTCCCAATTTTTTCACCCTATTCTTATATTATGAATTTTTTAAGAAGAAATGAAAAAAAATGATTTTTCTTTTGAACTATAATCCGATATTTAATCCTGGTCAAGTTGGTCCGGTTTCAAACGATCTTGACATCGAATTCAAACGTACGGTAAGAAGCAAAACACCTCATTGAAACGTCGAGGTCGCGTACTTGTGTTGGGTCAACCTCATCGCGACGAAAACCTCATCGAATACCAATAAGTTTTCATAAAATTTTCATTTTAATTCGACGCATCAATTAGAAAAGAAAAAACGTTTCTCAATCACTTTTTATTTCGTTTCTTTACACCATATCAAAATAAAATTGCACAACATAAATCGAACCAACTTGAAGATAACGCACCGACTGATTCAATTAATCCGGTACAAAGCCAATTTAAACCGGTACGATCCAAATAATCGATTAAATTAGATTAAAAAAAATCAGATACCTAAATCAAATGAACTAAAATCTTTCAAAAATGTTAACCCAGGATTAAATCTGAAGCCGAAAGGATTAAACGTGATTAAACGGCTTAATCAAAGCATCGATATATCAATCAAAACGGAGATAAAAGAAAACATTGTCATTTTATGGTTAATTTATTAGGTGTCGAAAAGGAAATCGATTGGGTTTTAAACGATTTTTGATGTATATCTATTTCATTCAAAAAACACAATTCAATTCTAATTTTTTTGTTACAACACAATACATTTCTTGCCCTAACAAGAATAAAGAGAAAATCAATTGAGCTTTAGAAACTTCCAACAAATACCAATATAAAAGGGCTTTCCTCGAACGAATTGTCTCATTCAACCAATCTCTTTTACAAGGACATAAACGTTTATATGAAAACATCGAAAAAATTCTTTTTTCTAAAAATAAATTGAACGTTATCTAAAGTCGTTCGCTGATCAGAAATCGAATATCGTGATTAGTTATTTATAGGCTGTAATAAAAAGTAACGTCTTGCTATAACAAGACATGAATCAACTGAAATTCAGGAATTTTGTTATCGGATAATGATTCTATTGTCCGACGATGTTGAAGTAGTTTATTTTTGTTTTCAAGCCGTTCATTTAAAAGTACAAACCTAAATTGCGCTGTATTTTTGGTCTCAAGATTTAAATCTCTATTATTCCTAAGCTATTTATAAATCGTTATCTCAATATAACGATGAAAAATAAAATTAAAATTAATTAAGTTCAAAAAAAATGATTACAAGCCAAAAATTATATCATCATTTTCAATCGTACCTAAAAATTGTATCGATAGCTTGGATAAATAAAATTTTTAAGTGGTGTTTATAGGAAACAAAAAATTACAATAGGAATTAATTAATCACCACTTCAACAACTCCTTTTTTTGATTTGTAATTTACACAACAATACATAATTTTAGCGGTAGCCAAACAAATTTTTAAATAACACAAAAGCCCTTTACAGTTCATTTTTAGATAATGTCTATGATAAGTGACAATGCCACAATGTTATTAAAACTATATCAATGCAATCAAAAAATATCTTAAAAATAATTAAAGTATAATTGAAACCTAATCTTTAAAAAAAATAAAATAAAGGAAATTAAAACGTGATATTGACTTATTTTTGTATTAATATGTTTGATAATAGAAATAATTGATTCTTTTACAATGAATGATTAGATTGTGTCTAATTATAAACTTCGGCAAGTCAAACCAACCCGGAATCAACCCAACTCATTTAGTAATTTTAAAAATCACCTATTTGATTTAATTTCTAGACAATGAGGTTAAAGAAAAAAATTGTTTTCTCCTAAACGGTTCGGAATTAAGAATTGAAACTTTTTGAGGTTATAAAGGAACGTTTGAGGTTAGCTTACACCAAATTATAACGTTCCAGAATGGTTATTTAATTTTATATAGAACTTTAAAATCGCTGATTTAATTTGACGTTTCTAGAAAATGAGGTTAAAGAAAAAAATTGTTTTCTCCTAAACGGTTTGGAATTAAGGATTGAATTTTTTTTGAGGTAATGAAGGAACGTTTGAGGTTAGCTTACACCAAATTATAACGTTCCAGAATGGTTATTTAATTTTATATAGAACTTTAAAATCGCTGATTTAATTTGACGTTTCTAGAAAATGAGGTTAAAGAAAAAAATTGTTTTCTCCTAAACGGTTTGGAATTAAGAATTGAA